AACTACTCATACCCTTATTAGCTTAGCCTCCTCCCCTAGGTTCCACTACAGAATGGGGTGGGGGTTGACAGACAGGTGGGGGCTACCCCAGGCTCAGCACAGCCAGGAGGTCAGAGGCTGGGTACAGAGATCTGGCATTGAAAGGGAATGTGACTAGCAGGGACTCACCAGTTGTATGATTGGGACCAGCTTTCTTTCCCTGCACCTCCCAGACTAAGGAAGAGATAGTTGCCCTCCAAAGGACTGGATCTAGTAGAGGGGCAAGGCAGGAGTCAAAGCCTAGAAGTAGAAGATAACCCCATGTTTTCAAAGAGCAGGGAGGAGTGAAGGAGTGTTTGCTTGGGAAGGTTTGTCTAAGGGGTCATATCCTGGGATACCAGATATATCAGGATGAAGAGCTAACTTTGAGGATAAACTATATTCAGTCAATTTTAAGTTCCTCCTGCCTGTGGGCACTATGGGGTGAGGCTCAGAGGCTTGAGCTGGGATCTGGTACATCTCAGGAGCCTGCAGGGCATCTGTGGGGTAGAGGATGGCAGACATGCCCAGAAGTAGCTGGATATACAAGAGCCTGAGAAGGAATGGTGGGGTGAGGAGAAACCAGGAGTTGCTGGGTTTGTAAGCCAATGGGAGAGTTGCATTTCAGGGAGTATAGCTAGGTCAAGCTCTGGAGGAGTGGGGAGTCTGTAGGCTGAGAGATGGATCTGAGGGGAAGGGGTCTTTGGGGATGGGACAGGGGACCAACAGAACTGTGCAGGACCCAGTGTTTGGGGGAAGACAAAGGAAGAAGGGAGAGGCAGGGGGGGTTGGAGGGCCCAGGGTTCTAGAGGGATACTAAAGGGTGAGGATGAAAGGGAGCAGACTTATCACCTGGGTCCCCCTACAGTGTGGCCTTGGGCTTTGGCTGAGTAAGAGGAGGGCTGGGAAATTGAGTAGGGGCTTAGGCTCTAGAATCATACAGGTGTGAGTTTGAGTTCTCTTATCTTACTAGCTGTGTGACCTTGTGCAGGGTACAAGCCTCTGTGAGCCTCAGTTTCCTCATCTGTAGAAAGGTCCATAGTATCGAACTCTTTGAGATGTGAAGATTTGTGAGATACTACGTGCCAAGTGCTTAACATAATGTCTGTACATGGCAGGTGCTTGCTAAGTGTTAAGAGAAAAGACCGAGGTAGTCAGGAAGCCTTGCTGATGAGTTAAGGTGTTCAGAATGGGTGGGGGACTCAGAACTCCAAAGTGAACATGAAGGGCTGAACACTGAGAGGCAACAGTAATGGGGGGAGGTGGAGCAGGCCAGATATGGTAGGGAAGCTAGGAGGCATCTGACTTAGGGTCCTCTCAGCAGTTAACTTTGATGTCCATGTTCAACTCTACAGGGTTCCCAGAAGTGAGGGTCACTCCTGAAGGATGACGTGCATATGAGGAACAACTGAGGGCAACAGGAGAAAATCCAGGAGAAGGGGGGCTGATCCTAAGGCAGCATCCTGTGTGCCTCCCCCCAGCTCCCTCTATGGCAGTGTGGAGGTTCCATGCACATCAGTGAGCATGGGTGTGACAAGTGCAAGGCAGGTGGGGACTGAAGGGAAGACTTTTATACATTTTATACCTTTGTAACCAGAGAGATATGCTTATGTTATTTTTCAGCTTTTCTGTCTCCCCCAGGGGTCTGAGACTGGACTGGTAAAGGGAAGGGAACAGAGGAAGAGAGATGCAGAGTTTGGCCCCATTTGGGTCCATAGTAAACCATATGTTCTTTTCTCATATCTTACTGGGGTAGACTTGTCCAACATGTGGACAGATGCCCTCCTGACCCCACCCCACCCCACCCCCCTGTTTGATCTGAGGATTGTCAGGGCCCAAAGTGCAGAATTGATCTTATTTTCTCTTAAATGCCCCACCGACCAAACTTCTGGGGTTGGGGGTTGGTCTTGGAAACAGGGGTCCTCTGATTCTCTCATGGGGGCTTGCTCATGCCACCCCTCCCCGTGGATGTGTGTGTTTATTACATGGAGTCCCTGCCACTTACTGCCTTATGACCTAGGACTGATGCTGTGGGCACTGGTGGAGCAGCAGATGTCATGTTTACAGAGCAAGGCTTCCCTTTCTCCCTTGGGGAGGGGCCCAGGCTTCTACTCAGACATTCCAGTATTGGGTGGGTAGAGGGGTCACTGACCTGCCCCTGCCCCTGCCTGAGCAAAAGTTGTCTGTGGTGCCATTTGATTCCCCCACACTGCCCTCTGAGGGGTGGGTGGGAGAGTGAACAAAGGGAGCAGATATGAGGGAATTCAAGACCCAGAATGTAGGTGCCACTGCCTCCCATGTTTACAGGATCCTCCCTGGCCCTAGGCACCGGGCTGCTGAAGTGACTCAGTTCCACCCTTCCTTTATTCCCTTTTAAAGGGAAAAATGACTGTTAGGACCCTGTTCACAAAACTCTTACTTTTGTTACTTTGTCTGATGTTCAGAACTAGAGACTTTAAAATTTTGTTACTTTGTTTACAGGTGAGGTTTTTAAAAACTTTTTTTGTTTACAACTTAAAATTTTGAACTTTAACACTTTGTTTACAGTTGAGAATTTTTTCCCCCTTTGTTTACAAGTGAAAGGTAGGAAAAGTGGGAGAGGGGCTTAAGAGGACCCACCTGTGAAGATCCTGGGCCTGGTCATCTTGTGGGGTTTTCTAACTCCTAGCTCTCCCAGGCCAAAGGTCCATCCTGAGCCCCCAGTTTGACAGCAGACCCAGAAGGTCTGAGAGTAGGCATCCTTTTACCACTATTAACAGTGGTTGTATAGGGTTGGGTCTGTGCAGACACCTCCCCATACCCGACTCCCATGCATGCTCTTGGAGGCAGTTTCCAAGGAGATTAAAAATTCTACTTCACTGACTGGTTTCAAATCCCACCAGCCAGAACCCCAGCTCTTCTTACCCAAAATGACCCTAGCCCTCAAAGGGCTGAGTGGCATGCTGTGGGTGAGAGGGTATCCTTGCTATGTCCTAGGTTCTGTAGATACCCCTCTCTGGGGTCTCCCCACTCCAGCCCAGCAGCCCTCTTTCCTGTCTGTGTAAATTGTTCCGTGAAGCCGAGCTCTGTTTTGGGAATAAACTTCTATATAAAACAGTTGTTGCCTCTTTCTGTTGGAGGTGGTGGTGGTAGGATGGTGGCTGTGAATGATTCAGTTCAGACTGAGTTTGAATATCTAGGGGTATTTTTGGGTTTTTTGCTCACTTTATAGGAGATTTGGACCAGGTTCCCATCTCTTTCTCTTTGAAATCTGGCCCTTCACCTGTGATTGGGGCTAGAGATGGACCACAAGTGCTGGGAGTAGGGTGCCAAGGAAATCTCTTCCCTGGTCAAGCATGAGGACCTACTTAGTGTTCAGGGCCTGCAGCCCTGGCTAAGTACTTTTTTTTTTTTTTTTTTTTTTGGTATTGGGAATTGAACCCAATGGTGCTTAACCACTGAGCCACATCCCCAGCCCTTTAAAAACATATTTTACTAGAGACAGGGTCTCCCTGAATTGCTAAGTGCCCTGCTAAATTGCTAAGACTGGCTCCCCCCACCTTTTTTTGGTACGGGGGATTGAACTCAGGGGCACTCAACCACTGAGCCACCTCCCCAGCCCTATTTTGTATTTTATTTAGAGACAGGATCTCACTGAGTTGCTTAGTACCTTGCCATTGTTGAGACTGGCTTTGAACTCATTATCTTCCTGCGTCAACCTCCCAAGCCACTGGGATTACAAGCGTATGCCACCATGCCTACAGCTGGTTACTGTTTTGCTCTGGGTGTTGCCGAAAGTGCAGTCCTTGTCCCCAATCCAGTCCAACAATGAGGACACGGTTTTGAGAAAAAGCCAAAAGAAGGTTTATTGCTTTGCTAGCAAAGGAGAAACACAGGGGGCTCCCTTCCCAGAGTCTGTGATTCTGCCTACCAACAGGAACAGGGGTCTTTTATAGAGGTGATTCAAAGGCTACATTCTCTACTGAAGTTGTAATTCACTTGTTAAGTTAGGAGCTAGTCATTTCTGAGATCTTCTGATACCATCCCCAAAGTCCGGATTACTTTGTTTCTATGGTGGGTGATTACTCAAGAACAGAGAAATCTGCCTAGGATGGGGAAGAAAGGTAATCCTGTTTCCTCTGAGATTAGGGACAGGGAAAGATTAGGCAAGAGAAGGGAAAGAGGGAGAGAAAAAAATGTCCATTTTAAAAAATTTTGCAATGGCAGAGCAGCAAGGGCTATATCCAAAGCATAAAGTGAACCACTGTTACATGAGAAGTTGTCAACTTCTAGGAGCTTCCCTTGCAGCTGCCCATTGACAACACTAATCCCCACAAGCCTTTCTTTTTTAAAATATTTTTTTAGTTATTGATGGACCTTTATTTTATTTACTTACATGCAGTGCTGAGGATCAAACCTAGGGCCTCACACATGCCAGACAAGCACTCTACCACTGAGCCACAATCCCAGACTCCTCCCACCCTCCATGACTTGCAACTGGCCAGAATGTTGAGTTCCTCCATGGCTCAGGGAGGAAACTCCAGGCACCATGCCTAGGTTGGGCTCCCTGCACCTGTCCAGAGCCCTCCTCACTAGCTAGAGTTGAAGAGGAGGCCTTGGGGACATTTCGTGGGTCTCAGAAACATGCCTCCTGCTCTCCAAGGGAAAGCCTGAGGGTGGCGCCCTCAGCTTGGAAATATGAGAGGCCCCACAAGACCTCATGCACATCAGGTCACACTACCCAGCGAAGCACCAGGATCAGCTCCATCCACTCAGGGCCCTGGAGGCGCGGTTCTGGCCAGTACTTACTTCCTTGCCAGTCCCGCTCTGGTTCTTGGTTCACGTTCCACAGTCCCATCAGGCTCTGGCAGACCGTTAAGCGAGCCGCAAGGGGGAGCAAGAAAAAAGCCAGGCCCGGGGTGAAGAAGGGGTTAAACTTCTCTTCTCCCGACTCTCCCTGCTCAGAAAGCGTGCTTTAGTCCCTGCCCCTAGAACGCTGATTGGTTCAAACCTTCCCCAACTTGCCCCTGGATTAGGCCCTGGGAGCTAGAGGCCCACCTCGCCCCTGTCTTGGCGCCACCTTCGTCCCAAAGCGGCCTTTTGCTGGAGCTGTTGGCTTGGAAGCCTGAGGGCCTTGGGGCTGTCTGATGCTTTGGGGTGAGTGCAGGGCATGGCCCGGATTCTGCTTGTCCGAGAGGCGCGGGCAGCCTCGTGGCCCCCGCGCGGGCTCCCGGCCTGGGCTTCTTAAGAGGGACCGCTAAGTCCCGAGTAGGCTTTTCCTTCTCCCAACCGGTTTACCGCTTTGACGATTTCCCGCAGGTGGCTGCCCCTCTGCAGCGAGGGATGGGGGTGGGAGCCGGTGCGACCCTGGCCCTTGAGGGCTGTGCGTAAAGCCACTGGAATGCTGTCCAAGGGCTAACGGGGGGGCTCAAGGAGGTGGCTGCGTGCGGAGGAGCCCCGGCCCAAGAGGTGTGCTAGCTGGGGCGCGTTGAGGTTGGAAGATCGCTGCAAGAGAGTCTCTGGCTGGGGCCTGTGGATCAGCTGGGGCCCGAGTCCTCCCAGCTGTATAACTGACCAGGGAATGAGAGCTCTAGCTCTACGGCCCCCGTACTCTCCCAGAGGGAGGGGCCAAGGATCAAGGCTCCGCCCTCCAGGCACGCGTCCCGCGTTGTGAGGGAGGGAGCCCTTTAAGAAGACTGGAGTGAGTTACGGAGGAGGGGAGAGGGGTCTCTAAGATCTCCGTGAAACAGCGGAGCCTTCTGAGGATCTTCCTTGCACCTGCTATACTGCCTCCCTCCAACCGGGACATCCAGGTTAGAGGCTTTCCCCAGGTGAGTTCCAGTCCCTCAGGTGGGATCCTCTCCTGGTTGGAGCTTCTCCTAGGTTAGAACTCTCCTGATGGGTGAAAGCTTTCCTAATATGCTAGACCCTCCCGCTCTAGAACCCCATTACCACCCCTACCCTGTTGAGAAGTTATTTCCAAGAGAGAGCTTTTTCCCATGCCATGGGGAGCCTACCCCTTAGGTGAGAGTATTTCCCAGATAAGACTTCCCTCTCCCACCCACCCACCTCCATCTCCTATTCTTTAAGGTCTTTCACTTCAGAGAGGAGCCTCTAGGCAGATAAAAGATTCCTCCCAGGTCAGAACTTTACCTCAGATCAGAATTTGCCTGGGGGTGAAGGCTTTCCCCCTGAAAGCTCTATTTCTAGGTGACTTTCCCTACTTCAGGGGAGAGCTTCCCTTTCCAGATGGGCGTGTCTCCCCCTGGGTGAGAACTTCCAAATTCAAGAAAGATCCCCTTCTCCTCAGACATCCCCCCAGGTGAGAGGCATCCTTTGGCTTCCCCAGCCCAGTCCCCAGCTTGTCTACAAATTGGACTCTGGGGCTAGAGGCCTAGGGGCAAAGCAGTCCTTCCCTTAGAGGAAAGAGTTTCATTTGGAGGACTGAGGCTTGGGGAGAGAATTGCTTGAAGACTTGGATTTCTGATTTGCTGGATCCCTTCCCTAAAAGTGTTCTCGGCCAGCCAGATCTGGGTCCGTGAGGCAGCTGGATAAGGACACAGGGATTGACTCAGGGAGAGCAAGGGCCTGGGAGGAGGGGGCTAGGAGGAGCAGTCACCCTGGACCTGGACCTGGACCTGGACCTGGACCAGTACTCAGGGCTGGGCAGCCACACCTAGGCTGGAAGTGTGGGTCGTGTTCTTCTTGTTATCCCTTCATGAGGGACTTTGGCCCAGAAAGAGGTTTCTACCAGCCAAAGTTCAGGTACTGCCTCTGCTTGGGTGTGGGTATGGGGCCTGCAGGGACCAACTTGGGGCTGGATCTACCTTGATCTTAGGGCCTGGAAAAATCAGTATGTGACTGTCTATTCCCAGGTATGTGTAGGGAAGATTGGGTAAGGGGTATCCTTACTGTATCTCTGATCTCATCCCCCCAGATAAGGGATACACAGGCACTCCTGTCTGCAACATAGATAATGGAGTTGCAGAAGCAAGATTACCATGTGGACCGGCCACTGATGAACCAGGAGCAACTGGAAGAACTGGGGCGCTGGGACTTGACACCTAGGACCTATCAGTGGAGAACATGGTTGAAGTAAGGCCAGGGAGAAAGGCCTGGGACTCTGGCGGGGCCCAGGTAGCCCCTGTCCCTCATATATACCCCTCATGTCCCCAGGTGCTCCCATGCACGGGCCCGTGCCCTTCTGATTCAACATCTCCCGGTCTTGGGCTGGTTACCTCGTTATCCTGTGCGTGACTGGCTCCTGGGTGACCTGTTATCTGGCCTGAGTGTTGCCATCATGCAGCTTCCCCAGGGTGAGCCACATTCAAGGCCCTGACCTAGAGTCCCTGTGATCTGTGATATACCATACCTGGACACATGGCCTCTAACCATGCTGGGATTCTTCCAACCTTTTGGATCCTCATCTCCAAGCCTGCTTTGCTACCATTTTCCCCCCAGGCTTAGCCTATGCCCTCCTGGCTGGATTGCCTCCTGTGTTTGGCCTCTATAGCTCCTTCTACCCAGTCTTCATCTACTTCCTGTTTGGTACTTCCAGGCATATCTCTGTGGGTAAGTAGAGTCAGGCCTAGACTTTTGGGAGGATGCCCATATCCCCCATGGAGAACAGGGTGAGGGAGGGCTGAGCAGGGCAGGGAAATTTAGGGAAAGAGTAGAATGGTTGCTGGGTCACTAGGAGGCTGGCCCATTTGTCATCCCCAGGCAGGACTAGGTCACTGACTGTGGGAGCACAGATTCAGGGTACTTCAAAGCCCTGACTCCAGGAGGATGTAAGTGAATGAGGGAATTCAAGAGGCCAAGGCAGGTTATTTCCTCTTCCCCAATTCATGGAATGTCTCTGTCTCTAGGCCAATGGACATAAATGGTACAAGGTATATAATGTAGGGTAGCATTTCTAGTACCCTTAAGAACCCATGAGCCTCAGGGTTCCCTCCTGACCTGCTGCCATTTGTATAGCCATGGTCTAAGGATATTTGTCCAGAACTAGATCTATCTTGGCCTCACTGTCAAGACCAAGGCTCCAGGGGAGGACAGTGTTCTTTTCCCTTCAGACCAGCCCTGCTCTGCTCCTTTAGGGACCTTTGCTATCATGTCTGTGATGGTGGGCAGTGTGACAGAATCCCTAGCCCCAGATGAGAAATTCCTGCTGGACTCAAACTCCACAGTCAATGAGACAGCCAGAGATGTCACCCGTGTGCAGCTGGCCTCCGCACTCAGTGTTCTGGTTGGACTCTTCCAGGTGTGAAACATTCAGAAGTATGTTTCCCCAGCACCCAGATTCTCTGATTATTGCCATCCTATTTTTGTCCCCTCTGTTCACTATCCCCTCTGATTCTGATTCCATCTGCCCTGGACCACCCCTAGGACTCCTGCCTCCCCTGACTCTTCCCTGTTATCCCACAGGTGGGGCTGGGCCTGGTGCACTTTGGCTTTGTGGTCACCTACCTGTCAGAGCCGCTGGTCCGCAGCTATACCACAGCTGCATCTGTGCAGGTCTTTGTCTCACAGCTCAAGTATGTGTTTGGCCTCCAGCTGAGTAGCCACTCAGGGCCACTATCCCTCATCTATGTGAGTAAGGTTGGGATGGGTGAATAGATGTGCCCCATGAACTTGAGTGCTGGCTGTGACCCCACCTCTCCTCAGATAGTGCTGGAGGTCTGCTGGAAGCTACCCCAGAGTGTCATCGGCACCGTGATCACTGCATTTGTGGCCGGGGTGGTGCTTGTGATGGTGAAGCTGTTGAATGACAAGCTGCAGCGGTATCTGCCCCTGCCGATACCTGGGGAATTGCTCACGGTTCGGGTTTACTGGGGAATTGCTTGTGGTTTGGGTGTTGAAGGGCAGGGGGAAAAGGCAAGTGAGGATAGATCCCAGGTATGGGGAACCTCCAGATATTTGGGAGCTGGTTGAAGTGGCCCCTGTGAAAGCTTCTTGAGTACTGCAGCAAAAATGCCATTGTCTTCTCCCTACCCCTGACAGAATCTCACCCTTCCCTCAGAAAATTTTGCTTCAGTGTCTCCTCTCTCCCAAAGGGGTTTATCCTTCTCCCAGACAATAATACCTGTACCTTTTTCCCCTGATTCTGTTCTCTCCCCACAGCTCATTGGGGCTACAGGCATTTCCTATGGTGTAGGCCTGAAGCAGAGATTTGGGGTGGATGTTGTGGGCAACATCCCTGCAGGGTAAGTTCTGGTCCCCTATCAGGGCAGGAAGGACTGGGTAGCCAGGGAAAGAACCTTTCTTTGACTTCACAGATGCCTCTTTCAGACTGGTATCCCCAGAAGCTCCCAACCCCCAGCTGTTTGTAAAGCTTGTGGGAAATGCCTTCGCCATCGCTGTGGTTGGGTTTGCCATTGCCATCTCACTGGGAAAGATCTTTGCCTTGAGACATGGCTACCGTGTGGACAGCAACCAGGTCTGAGTAATGAGGGACACATAGGGGACCTCCAGGTGTATGTACAGAGTCCCCAGCAGCTGCGGGTAGGGAGGATCAGATGGGACTTGTGTGGGACTGAGAGTGGGGGAAAAAGATGTGTGGGACAGCAGCCTAGTCTTTGAAGGCCCTTAACTGGGGATGGGGGTTGGAGATGCATCAACTAAATAGTGGAGCAGTGACCAGGCACCTCCGGCAAGTCTCCTCACACCCATGTTCCCCCAACAGGAGCTGGTGGCCCTTGGCCTCAGTAACCTCATTGGGGGTATCTTCCGATGCTTTCCTGTGAGTTGCTCTATGTCCCGGAGTCTGGTACAAGAAAGCACTGGGGGCAACACACAGGTGGGTTTTGGATGTGGGAGTGAGGGTGCACATTGCTTTTCCAGGGTGGTTTACCCCTGCTTGCCCCCACCTGCTGATCGCCCCTATCCCATAGGTTGCCGGAGCTGTCTCTTCCCTTTTTATCCTCCTCATCATCCTCAAACTTGGAGAACTCTTCCAAGACCTACCTAGGGTGAGCCACTGCCCTACCCAACCAGTTTTCAGGGCTTTGGTAAGGCCAGGGTCTCAGTTTAGTCTATACCCAAGTAAGGGGCAAGAATATAAGATCATGCCCTGGATTTTTAAGGCTGAGATCTATAGGGTGAGATTTGGCCTCAAGGGTCAGGGTTTAGAATTTTTCAGTCAAATCCAAATTGGTAGAGTTGGGGTGGGTGGTCATTGCTGTTGGTTGGGGTTCTGACCAGGTTCTTGGGGTCAGTCTGAATCATGCCTACATGGTTGAGGTCAATATCTAGGCACCTATAAGCAGCCCTGGTGATACTCCCTCCACCCCAGGCAGTTTTGGCAGCCACCATTATTGTGAACCTAAAGGGCATGTTGATGCAGTTTGCTGACATATGCTCCCTGTGGAAGACAAATCGTGTAGACCTGGTAAGAGACCTGGGGTCCCAGAGCTGGGATTGGGGCCTTTAGCCCCAGTGGCCCCTCTATACTCTTTAACTCCTGGCCCTCTGTTCTCAGCTCATCTGGCTGGTGACCTTTGTGGCTACCATCCTGCTAAACCTGGACCTTGGCCTGGCAGTTGCATTAGCCTTCTCCCTGCTTCTTGTAGTGGTCCGAACACAGCTGTGAGTCATCCTTATTGGTCCTTCCCTCATTCCAGCTGGAAAGGGAACACTGGCTCCCCCCAGGTTTCCCCATGTCTCTGGAGAAGGGGGAACCACAGGCTCCTCAGTGTGCCCTCATGTCTCCCTTCTCCTCCTCTTCTTATACTCACTTTCACCTCCACAGACCTCACTACTCTGTCCTGGGGCAGGTGTCAGACACGGATATTTACAGAGACGTGGCAGAGTACTCAGATGTGAGTGGCAGGGGCTGAGTAGGAGGGCAGCATGAGTTGGGTGGAACAGAGGCAGAGCAAACCCATGTCAATCCCTTTTACACTGGCAAGGACACAGTGGGCTGAGAGTACTTTGGGTTTGGTCTCTGGAATTTTTAGTGGGGAGTCTGGGTCTATAACCCCCACTCAGTGGGAGGGGCTAAGAAGGTACAGAAAGAGAGTAAAGAGAGGTAGGTCTGGAGGTCTAGTGAGGGGTCAGTCTTAGAGCCATCCTGGGTCAGGAATATAGAGGATCAGGGTCCTAGGGCATAGGCTGTTTCCTGATCTCATCAGTGGGGCTACTAAGTCTCTAATCATTTACCTCCTGGGAAGTCTTAAGCCAAATGATGGAAAAAAGGCTGTGGGGCAGGCACAGGGGATAGGGATCTGGAATAAAATAAGCCCCTTCTTGGGTTATGGCTTAGCAGTAGAGTGCTCGCTTCGCATGTGCAAGGCCCTGGGTTCGATCCTCGGCACCACATAAAAATAAATAAGTTATTGTGTCCAACTACAAATAGTAAATGTTTAAAAAAAAAAAAAAAAGTCCCTTCCCACTGACAGAGACTGAAAGCATGAGCACAGTGTGATTAGACAGAGTAAAGGATGGGACCAAGGGATCTAAGGTGTGGGACAGGACATGAGGGGAGTAGCTCAGCTGGATGGAGAGGAAGCACCATGAGGCACAGGCCTAAATGCCTAGTAAAGATCTTGCTGTGTTGTAAATGGGATGGGAACTGAGATTGGGGTGACAGCTTAGAGGAATCTTTATGTCCACATGCAGAAAAAACAACAACAACAAAACGACAGGGGTTGGAGATCTAAGAGGAGGCCTAGGCACCACCAAAATCTAATCTGGGTAGTGGCAAAGAGCAGGAGAGGTGATGGGGAGAGGACCTGAGGCAGGAGTGAAGTAGTAGGATGGGGAGTCCACCTCTGAGTAAGCCAAAGGCTAGGAACAGAGGGTGGGAGGTGGCAGGCACTGGGTGCTCTTGGGGAGGAAAGACAGAACAGGATGCAGTGGAGGGAGAGGACTTGGCTCCCCTACAACTCTGTCCCATCCCCAGGCCAGGGAGGTCCCAGGTGTGAAGATCTTCCGCTCCTCAGCCACCATATACTTTGCCAACGCTGAGCTCTACAGTGACACACTGAAGCAGAGGGTGAGACTGAGGTCTCTTGGAGACTGATTGAGGGCCCCTTGCCTTCCCAGAGTGCCTCATCCTCTTCTTTCACATTCACCTCTAGTGTGGTGTGGATGTTGATCACCTCATCTCTCGGAAGAAGAAACTGCTCAAGAAGCAGGAGATGAAGCTGAAGCGCCTACAGAAACTCAAGTCACCCCAGGAACAGGCAGGGCCCCTTCCAGTGGCTGACTCCTGGCCCTGCCCTGGGCTGGCCTCTGCCCGTGGTCTGCTGTTGACCCCAGCCAACTTGTCTCACTATTGAACTCTGCCCCTGCCCCAGTGTTCCTCCCTCAGCCTGTCTCCCAGCCTCCCTGTTTCACTCCCTGGCGGGGCTCTTGGTGGTCTTTTGTTGTCCCTATACCGGTGACAGTGTGAATCATCATAGTCCTCTTCCATTTTTGTGGCTGTTCTCAGAATTGGTCAGAGCCCTGTGGCTTGGCTGCCCCAGATCCCACAGCTTCCAGAGCCTGGGATCTACATCAGACCTACCTACCTGACCTGTTGTTATATGATAGCGGGAATAACTCTTTCCTGTCTCCACTCTTCCCCTGTGTAGGCTGTTTCTTCCCAGGACAACTCAGTTTCCATCAATGTCAACACCAATCTTGGAGACACCAAGAGCGATGATGTGGAGAGCTCTAAGACCAAGGTGAGGCTAGAGGTGGGAGAGGAGAGGTCAGCCATGAGCTGTAGAGATGAGGGTGTCTACACATCTCCTGAGAAAAGTCATGGACCCCAACCAAATTGGGTTTGAGGAGGCACCAATGTCTGGGGAAATAGGGTGATGGCTCTGATACTCTGGAGAGACCTGTGGTGAAACAGAATTCTGCTTGTTCTCTTATCTATAATCTCAGGCCTAGATGAAGACCTTAGATTTATAGATCCCAGAGTCTGCTCATGAAGGGAGGGAAGGGCTTGAATATATGGGAAAAATCTTGGGAACATAGAGAAGCCACACTCAATTAGAGACTCAAACAGAACAGGCTGCCAAGGTGTCTGTGTGTGAGTGTGTGCACATGAATGGATGTGTTTCTTCTGGTCTGTCCTTGTACCCCTATCCACTCCACCTGGGCTGGCTGATGGTGGAATATAGTTTCCCAGTATCCTCCCTTCTTGTGTCCCTTTTAAGCCTGGGCCCAGGAGGTAACAGCTGTGTGTGAATATCTGGGCATGCTCTCCTGTATGTCCCCATGTATCTATACTGCCTGTCCTATGTACACACATGACTCCCCCATGTCTGTGTCATCATGTGTTCCCTGTATGTCCCTCTATATGTGGGTATTTATATGCACACTCCTGTGTCTAATCCCATGTGTCCCTAAGGTGCTTTGTATGTTCCCTGCTTTCACTTCCTGATGGGCTGTCCTACCACACGTCTGGTTCCCCTGCAGGCAATGCCAGAGAATGAGCTGGAAGAGATTGTGGCTAGTGGTCAAGAAGATGCCAAGGCTATAGCTGTGCCTACGCTGAAAGCCCTGGGCCTGCCTCAGCCGGACTTTCATAGCCTCATCCTGGACCTGGGTGCCCTCTCCTTTGTAGACACTGTGTGCATCAAGAACCTAAAGAATGTAAGGGGCTGTAGGCAGGCCATGGCCCCCCAGGCTTCCACACAAACCCCATAACTTTTGCTGAGACCCCTCTGAGCATGATGATGCCCCCAAACCCTGCAAGCTCAACATCAAAAAATTGTTCCCCTAAGCTTGCCCAAGTGTCCCCCTCTGAATCCCTGAGCCTCCCTTGAGTCCAGCCCCTTTTGTTGCTGCAGATTTTCCGTGACTTCCGGGAGATTGAGGTGGATGTGTACATTGCAGCCTGCCACAGTGCGTTGCTTGGGGATAACAGGATGGTCCAGGAAGAGGGTGGGACTCTTTGCTGAGAGGTTTGCCAGGAATCACAAAGAAAAAGTTTCTGAAACTGGAGGTCAAAGGTGCCCTGGGAGGAAGGAGTCTAGTGTTGGGAGTGACTGGGTGTCTAGCTCTAGCCTCAGGGGTGGAAGATAGTGTGGCAGACATCAGAACACTATAAAGGTGTCTGGGGCTGGAATGTCAAGTGGTCCTGAGAGTCAGAGGAGACCTATTCCTTGCTTACAGGTCCTGTGGTCACCCAGTTGGAGGCTGGGCAGTTCTTTGATGCATCTATAACAAAACGGCATCTCTTTGTCTCTGTTCATGATGCTGTGACCTTTGCCCTCCAACACTCAAAGTCTGGCCCCATCAGCCCTATTTTGGTAAGCTTGTTTCTGGCCCACTAGGCTGTTTTTTTATTAATCTGTTGCTTGTCCCCAACCTGACCCTAACTCCAGGAAGTCCATTTATTGACCTAGCTCTGCCCTCAGTGGACCCATTTCCTTCTCCAGTTGTCTTTGGATTAAGTTGCTCCTGGGAACAGGGGTTGCTGTCCTGGAGAAGTGGTTTGTTATGTGTTTTTTGGAGACTGACTAGAACCTCCCCTCCTCTGTCTATCCAGGCCACCAAACTCTGACTGTGTTATTACCCTGCCCAAGATTGCTCACCTCAGGAGGTTGTGATGGAGCACCCTCAAGAAGACCCCCACACTGAGCATGTGCCACTCAGGAGCCCCTTGGTGCATACATACATACAACTCAGGGATGGAGATTTTAGGAATCCAGATTCAGGTTATAGGCCTGGAAGAGGGGTACTGTGGTTTGGCTGGCCTTGGCCAGGCTTGGGGAGGGAGCCAATGTCTATTTTCAGTCTAAGGAATAAAAATTTGTTTAACCAGCTCTAGGCTTTGCCATGGCATGGTGGGGGCTTGACTGGGGAGTTGGATGGTTGACAATTCTGGCTTCTGACCTTTTTATGCCCCAAGATAGAGACTGAGGTCAGAAGCCAGGGATGGGGATTAGAAGAGGGGAAGGTCAGGCAGAAAGTGTACAGAGTAGGAGAGCTATGGGGCCAGGCCTAATGTGAGGACATCCCAGGCTCAAGTTTCTCCCCAATTACACACAGGTAGAATTTAGCTTCAGGCTGGAAAATAATTGGAGTTAAAACTGTTTCTCAGGAATAATCAGCTCTCAGGGATACCCAATAAGGTTCACAGCAGGGCAGGTGCCACTGGGCAGCCCTTGGGTGGTACAGAGTGAACCCCTGAACACCCAGTCAAGGAAGATCAGTTGTTTACCAACGCTGCTGATCTGTATTTTTAAATAAGTGTGATTGATTGCTTGTTTATATAATTAGATCATTGGACTTGGCAGAGCACTGTTAGCCAAGAAGCATTTATTGATTTCTCCCAGTAAATGCCAACATCAGGGGCTGGGATTATGGCTCAGTGGTAAGAGCACTTGCCTAGAACATGTGAGGCACTGGGTTCGATCCTCAGCACCACAAAAAAATAAATAAAGGTATTGTGTCGGTCTACAACTAAAAAAAAAAAAAAAAAAGCCAACATCAGGGCATATGGCCCAGCAGGCAAGGGGGTTTTGACACAGTAAATTGTCAAGAGTGTCTATGGGGGCACCAGAATCTTTCTGGGCTTGGGTGTGCTACTGATGAGTGGAGTGGCGATAGTACTCACCTCATAGACTACTCAGTAAGTATTAAATGAGCAAATGTGGGGAAATGCTTAGATGAGTTCAGGACTTGAATCACCTGCTCAAAGCATGAACTTTGCCATTCATCAAGTTACTGACCACAGAGACTGCCCTGCCCTCCAAATCACCCAGGCACCCTTGCCCAGGCCTATTTTTATCATGGCCTATGTCAGTGCCTGGCACTGTATTTACAAACTGTCTGTCCTCCCCCCAGAACCTCACCACAGTCCAGGAAATCAAAGCTCTTTGTCGGCTCCATCATACCGCATTCTGGTACCAGGAACTGGCACTCTGTAAATATTGGTTGAATGAGACTTAAATGCTGGAGTAGGAGTCTGGACCTCAAATATGAAATTGAAGGTACTTAGAAGTGCTTTGAAGAAAACAATGCAGGGTCACATTAGAAGGGGCTGTGTTACCTAAGATGGTCATGGGAGGGAGGCTTAGGGAGCAGGTAACAGTTGAACTCAAACGCTAGCCATGAGAAGGTGACTTTCTAAGAGACGAATTGCTTCTGACAGGGAATAGCAGATTTGTTCAGGGATGTGTATATGAGGCAGGTACAGCCCAAATGAATGGGAGGGAGATCTTATAGGCCAGTGTGAACCTTCAGACTTTTTTACTGACAGGAGCCACATGAAAAAAAAAAATTTTTTTTGTAGTAAGTGGAACTGAGGCTTGAACCCAGTTCCTCACTCATGCTAGGCAAGCACTCTACCACTGAGCTACAACCCCAGCCCGGGAGCCACATTTTTGCAGCTCAGGCAGTATGGATGGTGGAGCTGGGCTGGGTGGGGGCAGGGACAGTGAGCAGCTCAGTCATATACTGCTTGATTGGCCTGGGAGTGCTATCTCTGGTGAAGAACAGAGGGCTGTAGGGGCCATGGTGTTTAGATTTTGTCAAGATGAGGTGGAAGCAGGGAAGATAGGGGATAAGAGGTGTTCCCTCTATCCTGGGCCTGCCAGGCCTCAGAGCTGCCATTCCCCCGAACACAGTCCCCCACCTCCCATTTGTGGTCCAGGCTGGTCATGAAGGGCCTTGGGCCCTGCTGGAACCTGCTGCTTTAGAGCTGGGCCTACTCTTGGGGGAGGGGTGTTTGGTGGTTGCCAAGCGCAAAGGTTCCAGCTTCTGGTAGTGGCCACAGCCATGTTGCATGCACTGTACTTTCTCTTGTCACTACTGTTGGCAATACCTACTCCCACCCATGCCTGGTCACGGCCCCTCTGGTATCAGGTGGGGTTGGACTTGCAGCCCTGGGGGTGCCAGCCAAATAGCCTAGACTCTTGCAGGAGCAGCTTGGGCTGTCCGAACGGTTGGGTGGGCCTGGGAGGGAACCGCATCTACCCTGTGGCTGGGGTCATGATTACCACCACCATGATGCTGGTGATCAGCCGTGCGATGCTGCAGCGGTGGCGTTCACAGGACACTAAGGATAAGGTGAGCACAGTACTCCCCGACAGCTCCTTCCTCCACTCATGCCCAGTGGGCCCATAACTTCTACTCAACCTTCCCTAATAAGCCAGCCTTATAAAGACTCATGGGCCTCCTGCCCAACCTCACCCTACCCAACACCCTATTTTCCCTGTATCCGTCCACACATCTCCATGAAATGCATTTCTAGAACCATCCATCCTGACTATTCCCCATGGTCAGTACCCTGCCCAATTTGTCCTCCTTTAGTACATCCATTTCTCATCCAACCCCCATGGGTCCCATGAACATGCTAGCCTCTAGGAGACCCTCAGGGAATCCATCACCCTAAGTCACCTCTCCCATCTCCTTTGGGCACAAATGCATAACCCTACACCATTCTCTATTGCTGCCACTTGCTATGCCCCCTTCCCCTCTCTCCACTCACTCCTACCTCTTGGAGTAAGACTTGGACTCCTATTCTCAGCACCCACAGGTGACCACTAGTTGCTACGGACCTTGGAAACGGCGAACTCCAATTTCAGATCGTGCCCTACTCTTTGGGGTCCTTCACATGCTGGATGCCCTCCTGGTCCATATTGAGGGCCACCTGCAGCGTCTAGCTACCCAAAAGCGAATTCAAATAAAGGGGACTCCCACCTAGTGTGGGTGATCCAGCACATTTCTCTCTGCCTGCTGGCCAGCCAGGGTGACGATAGTCTGAGTTCCCTGGCTGGGACTCAAGCCTATGCAAATGTTCTCTCTGGGCCTCTCTGTGGCCCCTTTTTACTCTTAGAACCAGCAGGTCTGTGGAGTCCAGGAACTGACAAAGTGCCTGTGGAAGAGTGGGTATGGGGAAGGTTACTCCCAGTGGAGATCTCAGTCTGAGTAAAGGCCATATGCTGTGTTTGGTATTCCATGCTTGTTGTCAGGATGGGTAGTGATCAGTGGTGGAGAGCATAAAGTGCCAAGGAAGGGTCCAGGCTTTTCCAGTGCACATGGGGTACAGAGAAAAGGCCTGGTCAGCTGAGAAGAGTAGGAGGAGGGTAGTGAGGAGGCTAGAACCAGATTCCAATGGTCTCTAATGGGAACTGAGAACCCTGAGACCCCAGTTACTGGGGGGCACCCACTCCTTTACTTCTTCCACCTTTATCACCACCTCAGGAGATCAGTAGGGGAGATGTCCTCGTGACTTTTTAGTCTTGCCACCTGAAAGCAGCTGGCTTTGGTTTCCTTCTTCCCTGGACTTGCAAGGCCCTACTCCAAGGGGGTCACTGCTGAGTCTCCTATAGCAGCCACTCTCCAGATCCTTGGCACCTGTTTGGCTCCCCACTCTCCTCCTCCCCAGCTTGGGCCCGATAATATCAAACTGGAGCCAAGTAGGCAGTTTTTGTGGCCACCTCAAACATGCTCTGATACCTGAGTGCCCTTGCTCCAAGGCCCCTAGAAGAAGAATGAGGGTCGGACCTCCCCAAAGAGACTTACCCCTTTTCCCACCTATCAAAGGTGATCCAGGTGGAGTTGGGCCTGAGACACATGCATTTTGGGGGTCTCTGTTTTAGAAAAACAATATGCTATTGCAAATTGAACATTGGGAACAACAACAAAATTGAACACTAGAAACAAATGAAAAAGGCTGGGGATTTAGCTCAGTAGTAGAGCATGTGCATGAGGCCCTGGGTTCAATCACCAGCATTGAAAAATAAATAAATAAATAAATCATTAAAAATGGTTTTAGACTGGGCATGGTGGCGCACACCTGTAATTCCAGCGGCTCGGGAGGCTGAGGCAGGAGGATTGCAAATTCAAAACCAGCCTCAGCCAAAGTGAGGCACTAAGCAACTCAGTGAGACCCTGTCTCTAAATAAAATACAAAATAGGGCCAGGGATGTGGCTTAGTGGTTGAGTGCCCCTGAGTTTAACCCCTGGTACCCTCTCCCCCCGCAAATGGTTTTAGGTTGATAAATATTACAATAGTGATCTGTAAATATATCTTTTGTGATACATATTATTATATGACACATTCCTATAATTTCTCCCTCCATTTTCTGGCTTCTTACTTTGATGGCTTCTATAAACAATAAGGATTTTGTAATTCAGGGGGAGAAATTTTTAAATAGAAAAGGGAAAGATAATTCAGTCTTCCTTCTAACATAGTTGATTGAAGTTTGAGTTTTAATTATTGATAGCTTAGGAAAGTTATTTTACTTCCTAAGCTATTACCAGTGGTGTAAGTATTGCTGCCAAATTTGGAAACATCCATTTTTCATACAGAAACTGTAAGATTTGGAAGAATTTCCCATAGGTGGACTTCCACCTGTACATATTTCAAACCTTGTTTTCCCTCCCTGATTTTTCTAGTGCTGGGTGCTGTGGGGCACGTTCTTAATGCAGTAAGACTTTGTACTTCTGTCCTGTCAGGAGCTCTCACCCCGGTAGGAGTTCTTCCAGGCTACATTCCAGAAGAGGAATAATAAGCTAACTTTACACAGGAGTGGAACAATTCACATAAATATGTCCCTGTTAACTCAAACCAAGTGTTTCCTTATGGTAGACAGAGATGTGCCACTTAAGTCCCCTTCAAAAAAGGCTGGCTGTTGCCAGACCCTGGGAAATCAACCAGAAGACAAGTCTGCCTCAGCCATGGAGAGCCTCTCCCAGCTAGCTTTCTTTCTCTGCCCAACCCTATTCCTTCCTCAGGTACTGATCCCAATTGATTTCTCTGGTAAGTATCTTGGACTCTAATCTTCCTCTTAGAGCTAGCTTTCCAGGGAACCCAACCTGGAATAATTCCTAACTCACCTTCCCCTTGGATAGATTCCCAAATGCCATAGTCTCTCTGATATTCCCCACCCAACACATTTGAGGCTGGAGACAAGTCTGAGCAGAAAGGACAGAGGTCCTGAATTAATGCAATTATATTATCTTAATTTTGCCAGTTTTCCAAAAATATTTGCCCCCAGACACACTACTGGGGCCTTTCTCAAGGCCGAAAGTAAGATGTTGAAGGCCAAGTTTCATCTGCCTGTTGTGAGATCCACTTTGGCACTCTACAAGGTTTAATGAGCACCTCCTATTTGCTGACCCTTTATTGTGGATGTATATACTAATGTGCATAGCAGACCTGGTTCCTCCCTTACCTTCTTGCAAATAAAGGTCTAGTGCTGGTGAAATAGACATGAAAAGGCAATTATTCTGAAGCAAGGTATGCTGCTCAGCTGGGGTGGTGCAGAGGCTGACTGTTGGGACCTGAAGGATGAGTAGAATGACCAGAAGAAGGGAAGAGAGCTCCACTGAGAAGGACAAGCACGTACAAGTGCTTAGTGGGGAGATAGAACTTGTTAAAGGAGCTTTAAGGTGATCAGGAGTTCAAGGGAAAGAAGGTGCTCTGGAAAGCAGGAAGGAGGGGTCTGAAGAGGAACAAAAATTGGTGTCTCCTAGAGAGGGTACCATGGGCAGAATGATGGCCCCTCTGTGATGTCCATATCCTAATCCCTGGAATCTCTGAATATATTACAGTACTTTGCAGATGAAGTTAGGGAAAAGGACTTTAGAGAGATCATTATGGGTTATTTTGGTGGTCCCAATGTAATCACATGAGCCTGAAAAAGCAAAAGAGGAGGGCAGAAGTTGGTCAGACTCAAAGTATGAAAGCGATGCGATCCTCCACAGCTGACCAAGGATCCAAGGAATTCAGGTGGTCTCTACAAGCAAGAAATGACCCTCAAGTGATAGCAAAAAAAAAAAAAAAAAAAAAGGAAACTAAGTTCTCCTACAATCACTAGGAATTGAATTCTGCCAATAACCTTAATGAGCAAATTCTCCCCAACCACCTCCAGAAAGGATTGCATCCCTGCTAATGTGTTGATTTTAGCCCAATGAAACCCATATTGAACTTCTGGCCTACAGAACTGTGGTATAATAAAAATTTTTATTATTCTAAGCCACTAAGGTTGTGTTAATTTGTGTGTTTATATTGTTAGGGATTGAACCCAGGACCTTGTGCATGCTAGGCAAGTGCTCTAACATTGAGCTGCACCCCCCAACCCAAGGGTAATATGTTATTGTAGGAAAAGAAAACTGATAGAGATTAGAGAATGAGATACTGCTGTAACAAATTCCAAAAACATGCCAGGTTCAGTGGTGCAGGTCTGTAATACCAGCAGCTCAGGAGGCTGAGACAGTTGGATTGTGAGTTCAATGCCAGGCTCAGCAACTTTGCAAGTCCTTATCTCTAAATAAAATATAAAAAGGCCTAGGATCTTGCTTAGTGGTTAAGTGTCTCTGGGTTCCATCCCTGGTACAAAAAAAAAAAAAAAAAAAAAATCTAAAAATGTGGAATTGGCTTTGGAATTGGGCAGTTGGCAGAGGCTAGAAGAATAACAGAAAAGGCCAATTTTGGCTTCAGTGAACCATTAGAAGAAATCTGAATGTTAAGGATGTTGCTGGTGAGAGCTTAGAAAGAAATGAAAAACATGTTATTGGAAGCTGGAGTTGCAGAAAGTTTAGTGTGGAATTGTATCCCACAGTAGGGTGGAAAACAGAATTTGTCCATTTCTAAGCAAAATGTTGAAGGTACATTCTGGGTTCTTCTTGCTAATTATGGTAAACTGTAGGAAGAGGGATATAAATTCAAAGAGAAACTGTTACACTGAAATCAGACCTTGATATTAGGAATTCTCAGTCCAGAAAAGCACTTTACCTCAAATTGTTGAAGTTGATACAATTCAAATAACATCAAGTTCTTCATTTTGAGTGATAAAGTATTTATAAAAATAATATACAAGAAGGATATGATGTCACAGAAGAAAGTGGACTAGGAAGCTTCATGGATTCATCCCTTCACAGAAACAAACAAGAATTGAGCTGGGTGCAGCTGCATGTGCCTGTAATCCCAGTGTCTTGGGAGGTGGAGGCAGAAGGATTGCAAATTGAAAGGCAGTCTCATCAAAAGTGAGGCGCTAAGCAACTCAATGAGACCCTGTCTCTAAATAAAATACAAAATGGGACTGGGAATGTGGCTCAGTGATTGAGTGCCTTTGAGTTCAGTCCCCCTCAACTCCCCCCCGCCCCCCCACCCCAAAAACAAATAAACAAAAAATCAGGTATTTGAGTTTTCAGAAACTGCCTGAACCAACTTTTTAGGAACTCAAGTCTAGATTGTAGAGGACAGATGAGGCAAGTCCCTGAAGATAGCAGGAAACAGTTTTATTTGGCTGCAGCCAGGTTCAGAAGATACAGTTTTTGCTGTAATCAACTAATCCACTGAATCCCAAGTTCAGGTAGTTTCAGAACTTTATGCCCAGTGTGTGAGGGGAGGGGCTCAGAAGTTCACAGTCTGCAGAAGTTCACATAAAAGCAGCTTTTTCTCTCACTGTTTTGGGCAAGTTAACTCTTCAAGGACAACATCTGAGAAGGGAGAGCTTCTTCTCCCCTTTCTTTCCTCCCCCTTCCAGCTGTTACGGAGCCCAACTGGTAACTTATCTTAGAAATGTAGACACTTCTGTGAAGCTTCTGCTCAAGGCCAGAGACCTTATCAAAGGATCTTTTTTAAATATTTTTTTTTATTGTAGTTGGACACAATAGCTTTATTCTATTTATTTATGTTGTGCTGAGGACCAACCTAGGGTCTCACTAAGTTGCCTAGGATATTGCTAAGTTACT